TTCTTTTTTTGTGTTCATATTTAGTAGCAGTATTTAATATTTAGTAGCATCAGAAGTTTGGTGTGTTTGTTATTCTGCGTGTAGTGCATAGTTTTCTTCGCAATGCTTCTTGCTACACTAACAAAGTCTTCGTTTCCCATTCTTCGGTCAGATTTAATGACCTGCCTCAGTGGGTCATCTTGATGAGTGATGGCATACTTTCCCATCCCGACTATTGCTTTGTGCCAGGAGGCTTTAACTTGTGTGAGGCCTCTTCCTCCTTCACGTAACACATTAAGCGTTTGTGCATCGGCTAGAGGACGACATGATGCATTGTGGGCAATTTTCTAGTTTTTCGATCCATGATTCGAATTTTCTGCTCAGTTCAGTCCACTAGTGCGAAACTGTACTCGACTACAGGCACCACCAAACTATCAATTGCTGATATTTTATTCCTGGAGTTCAGAGCGGACTGCAGGTCAAGTCTCACTCTTCTGTAATACTCCCTGCGAATTCTCTCCTTCATTGTGTCATTCGATGTTTTCATATTCTGCAATTCCGAGATATTTGAAAATTTTACCTGGCTCAAGATCTTGAATCACAGTGTGCATATCTGCTTCAATGCTCTCTGGCTTTTAAATTGACTTTTGCACACTTGGCAAGACCAAACATCATACAGATACATTTCTAAAGCCATTCACGACAGACAGCATTTGAGAGAGAATCACTTCATTCTTAGCAAACACTTTAAATGCACATCCATGTAAAACATGTGATACTGGTATTTCATCACCATGGAGCTTGTAATCAGAGTCAGTGTGCGACTACTGTCTAGAAAATGGGATCAAAGTAATTTAAACTAGGGATGCGACAGAATGGCACAGACTTTCTCGTATTAGTTTTCAGTTTTCTTTGGTTTGGGCTATTTATCCTGATTTGCCTTATCCCCTTGCCAACTGACATCTATCGCAGCCCAAAGCACATTTTTTAAAATATTTGCTCAATTTTTCGGTTTTTAATAGTAGAACTAAATTGTTACGTTAAGAACATTAAACAAAAGTAAACCTTCGTCCTAAATGGATATTGTATTGACAAATTTGGAGACTTTTTAAGAAAATGGCGTTTCAGCGTTACTGTAAAGGCAAAATTTGAAGCTCTTTTGAATATCTCTGAGTTTTCGAAAAACATCCTTTGAAGTATTTAAGACACTGTAACTCACAAATGTAATAGTATTTACAAAACGCTGGAAATGAACGTATTGAAGACGTGAGAGATATTTCAGAAAACTTACATTTGAGTAATTTTTGAAAAAACAAAAGAATTCATCAAAATTAATTCTTAAACTGTGCTATAAGCATTATCCGAACAATAAGATTGATGAAAAACTAGGAAAATAAATTTGGAGACATTTTTTAGAAAATGGCGTTTGAGCGTTTCTGAGAATGCGAAATTTTGAGCTCAATTTAACATAAAATTGAGAAACTTAATGTGGCATTATTTAAAGCGCATGTACTCATAAATACAATATGAACAAATTGCCACTAATGTAAATATTAACGTCGTGAGACAATGTTCATGTTTTTGTTGAAATCTTGAAATCGATTTTCCGCAGCAATACATAACTTTCTATATACAACGTATATTACTCCGTATATATGTACATATACGGGAAAGTAAAAAGGTTGTCGTAAATGTTTTTGCGGCTGTATGGAAATATTAGTACTAAAGTTATCTTAAATGATCTAAAGAAACGAAAACGTAATTTCAGCGTGGCTTGGATTGACTACCATAAGGACTTGACAGTGTTCACAGTTAACTGTGAATCCAGGGCGCTACGGACTGAGCCATTTTGCACAATGTTGTTGTCGTTGTTATTATTATTATTATTATTATTATTATTATTATTATTTCGTGAGGATATACACTGATGCCGGGGTTTTAGTTCACCCAAAAGTTCACACAATGGTTTGCGGTCTCTCACCATTCCTTGGTGACCAATCCATTCGCTGACACCACAACTGGAAGCACTTCCACTGCGTGTAATCCGTATATGTCCTTCAATTCAGCAGCCAGGAGTTGATATTTCCTATTTTTCTCAGCAATTGTTAAATAACTCCTAAACGAAGCCTTTTAAGGCCAAAGGTCTCAAAGAAACGTTTTTTACTTCTTAATCTACAGGATACGGTATTCTTGGACATTCTCTTACATTTTTGCTGGTCCGGCGCTTATCGATATTATCCAATACGAACTATATTACTCCAACGCCCTCTCGAAAAAACTATTCAATTAAAGATGGCGTTGACTCTACGCTAGAGGTAATCTTCGTTTCTGACGTCACACTTAGAAGGCTTAGATTTCTTCAACTTTTATGTATGTTTTCTGTGTACACCGTGGTTTACGCCGACTGATGGGATTTATTTGCATAATCATTAATTGAAGATTATGCAAATAAGCCTAAATGCTCTCGCAGCAACAAATAGAAGTGTAAATAGTTGATACCGTTGAAGATAGATATTTATGTGTTTAGTGCCATCGTTCATTTATCAAATGTAAGTGTTAACATTCTCGGTTCTGTGAAAAGTTTGTGATATAACCTACAGTATCAGTAATCTACAGAATTTGTAAGTGTATGTGAAGTGCAATTAATTACTTGATATTTTAGCGATTTAGATTGCGTTGTACCTCTCAGTTCGGTAATAAAGTTAAATAATATTCCGAAGAGTAGGGTTATGCTTGCCCGAACTTGTATTTTCGCATGGACCGCCTAACTCGTCCTACTTACTCGTCGAAGTAACTTTCTCGAAAGAAAGAAAGGGGAAGAAAAAAAAAGTGATTGTCAAGGAAATGTCTGTAATACTGAATAAACCTTTATTCAAAGTTTGTTTCAAACGTTAATTTCAATGTTTTTTGTTTTTATTTTAAATTAAGTTAAGTACATCAAAAGTACCTTTTTAAATTTTTTAAACAAATAAACACATTTCGTTAACAACTTCCCCTCATAATATGGAAAAGAAAAGAATGGGAAAAGGGTGGAATTTATCATGTGCGAGTTCTCGCACGGGCACGTGAGTATGTCTTACTAGTAAAATGTGGCGTCGCCGGCGCTGTAAACTGTTTTAAAAATAGTTCCATGTGTTGGATATTTCTTTCATGCCCAGCTTTGTTAAAATATATTCTTTGAGTATCTGGCATTGGACTTATCAATGAATCGTAGTAGCTGATAATGTTATACTTCAAAAGTTTCCAACCCCCAATAGACTTGTATGTTACCTCCATACGGCATATAAACACGTCTTATTGCTATTTCAAAGAAATATAATCGTGAAAGAAAATTATGGCTTATTATTGTGCGAGAAATACGTTTGGATACTGGTGTTTTATCAACACCCCCTACATATATCGATTTAGGAGGCGTTGGTTTAATTCTTAACATTATCACTAAGATTGCCGCGCGAAAGCACGAAGAAAGACGTTTTTGGAAACTTCTCTTTCAGGAGACCTAGACGCGTCGAGTGACATACGTCTCGATTGGTGCACGGGAAATGCTGTAGCCGCGAATGACGGAACTGCACACATACGCACATCTACACACTCCAAAGTTTTACTGAAACACTGTATAGGGATTTAAATAATGTAAATTGATTATCAATTTTAAGAAATAACATCCACGTATACATGTCTGTGGAATTATTCTCGGTGGCCACCGGGCCTTTGGATGCGCGCAGCGCTCACTCTTTGGCATCTGTCGTGTAACAAACACAAGAAAATTATGAATTACGAGAGAAATGAATACAAATACATACATACTGTTTACATTACTGTTACATTACATACTGTTTACAAACTTTCGTACTATATTCTGCATATCCAGTGTTGTAACGTTAGGGCCCGCAATGCCGGCGGGCCCTGGTGAAAGGGGGCGTATTTTTAGGCAGAAGGTTTTGCGTTTGTAAGAATTGCGAGCGTCAGGTTTTGCGATTGTGTATATAGTAATCGTAGATTGATGAATATGAATTTGTTAAAGGATATTTTTATTATTGAAGGTTCTAACGCTACTTGTGTCCGCTATTCACTTTTATAAAGAGGACCCGGATAAAAGCATATTTGGGGAGGGCGCACTCATTTTGTTACACTACTTTGCATACCATGCTAAAATAATACCGACTTTGTGTGTCTTTTGCTGTTTCTGGCCCAGAAGGAAACGTTCCCCTAGTTATTTTTAATTTCCCTATTTCGTGGGAATTCCCCTATCCCGCGGAGAAAACTGCGCTTTTCCAACACTCGAAGCGTTGTAGATTCGGAGGTAATTTGCGGTCAGGGAGTGCACTGCAATTCTGCCGGCCGGCTGGCGGTGTCGGACAAAGACGTAAGACGCGTGCGATACAGCGCTTTGGAAATAGGTACCCTAGAGTCGTCGCTTCACAAAATTTGTTTTTCGCTGTTTGTATTGGAAAAAGTGGATTTTGTCTTTTGTAACATTTAGAGCAGGGTTGTCTAACTGGTGGCTGCGGTGCCATTTATTGTGGCCCGCGAAAGGTTATTAGTCAAAAGTTAAAGTTCCTTCCATCCACATCGGGCAAGAAAATTATGCGCCTAGCTTACGTACCCTGTCGGGGTCAATACCCCTTTAATGTAAAAATAGGTGAAGTTTAGATTTAAGGAATATTTTTCAAGGGAATTCAGAAATTCTAAATTATCCCAATGTATTGCATTGCGTTATGAATGGTAAGCCCTGATATCACGCATGGTTCCATTCCCCCCAC